GTGATGGCTACACAATAATGTGAATACTTTTTTAAAAAAGACATTCTGTGCCTTACTCATAAGGTACCTTAAACTACATGTGCTTTATTTTGTTAATTTTAATTCCATTTCTTTTTCTTGAATACCTAATATAGTCTATTCCAGGGATGGCGAACCTATGACACGCGTGTCAGAGGTGACACGCGAACTAATTTTTTGGTTGATTTTTCTTTGTTAAATGGCATTTAAATCTATAAAATAAATATCAAAAATATAAGTCTTTGTTTTACTATGGTTGCAAATATCAAAAAATTTCTATATGTGACACGGCACCAGAGTTAAGTTAGGGTTTTTCAAAATGCTGACACGCCGAGCTCAAAAGGTTCGCCATCACTGGACTCTATTCGGTTAAAAATGTAAAGGAATTAAAGTTTGACTCCAATCTTGTTCTGAATGACCCTCCCCTCCCCCAGTCATATTTTACCCTTTCTTGGGGGCAACTAATGTTATCAGCCTCCTGTATATTCTTCTAGAGATAGCCGGTGCCTATTCAAGCAAATACATACAGAAGTTTTTCCATAAATGAAATAATATTGAACCTACTTCCGGGATCTTTCTTGGAAATCATTCTTACCGGTACTCAGCATTTCCGGCATGGGACAGACAGCAGCAGAGTCTATGGAACCAGTTCTTGATTGGTAGGCACTTAAAGTAGTTTCCAAACATTTGCTGTTTTAAACAATGCTGGCCCTAGCCAGTTTGCCCAGTGGATAGAGCTTTGGCCTGCGGGCTGAAGAGTCCCAGGTTTGATTCTGGTCAAGGGCACATGCCTGGATTGCGGTGTGCAGGAGGCAGCTAATCCACGATTCTCTCTCATCATTGGTCTTCCTTCCTTCCTTCCTTCCTTCCTTCCTTTCTTTATTTCTTTTTAATTCTTACCTGAGAATATTTTTTCCATTGATTTTTAGGGAGAGTGGAAGAGAGAGGGAGAGACAGAGAGAAACATCGATGTGAGAGAAACACATCAATTGGTTGCCACCTGCATGAGCCCTGATCAGGCTTTGGGCCTGAGGAGGAGCCTGCAACCAAGGTACGTGCCCTTGACCACAATCGAACCCAGAACCCTTTGGTCTGCAGGCCGGCGCTCTATCCACTGAGCCAAACTGGCTAGGTCTCATCATTGATGTTTCCATCTCTCTCTCCCTCTCTTAAATTAATAGAAATGTTTTTTAAATAAAATAAATATTAAACAATGCTGCATTGCATAACCTTGAATATATATAATTTAGCAAATTCATCTGTAGTACACATTTCCAGAGTGGAATTGTGAGGGATGCACATTTGAGTTTTGATGGACGTTGACTAGTTGTTCCCTGTAAAGCTTGTACGACTTAAGACCCCAGCAGTGTTTCAGTGCCTCTTTCCCCAAACTTCCCCCAAAAAGATTTTTTTAGCTTCTTGAGCTTTGCCAGCCACATTTTAATTTTTTTCAAAATGACAAGAGGAGACGTTTAAGAAGGGAACCCCAAATTTTGCCCCTTTCTGCAAACTCATGAATTACTTCTGGTTTGAAGGGACCTCTATATGTTCATTCCCTCTTCCCCTCCCTGGAAAGACATCTCATGGCAAACCAGTACTGTGGTGGCATTAACGTGGGTGCAGTCACAAATCTGGGCTTGAATCGCAGGGCCAATAATTGTAGCTATGTAGTCTTCAACCAAGCACCTTGGCTCCTTCTGCTCCTCATTTGCAAAAATAAGGATATTAATAGCAACTTCATAGGATTATTATGAAGATTGAATGACATAATCTAAGCAGAATGTCTTCTCACTCAGATAGAAACACTTACCACCCAGGGATTTCCATAGTCACTGGCCAAGTTACCCCCTCTCAAACCATCCCTTTCCTTTCTCCAAACAGGCCTCCAGGGGAAACATAGCGTTAGGAATCCCACAGGTCACCCTGCCAGGAAATGCGGTGGCTGTCACTTCAACTTCTCCCCATAGGAAGGCGCGGTCGCCCCTGAAGAGAGTGCTGTTCCAGGTCTTCAGTGCTGCTTTTTCGTGGGGAGGGAAGGCCTACTCCACTATTCTCCAAAGGCACCCCTTCCATTAGGTAAGCACTGGCTGCATTTGCTACTGCCCTGAACCCGTGAGCGTGTGCTTCTGCCCTCCCACGGAATTAGGTGTAGCTCTCCCTGTGACTAAAAGGACTGTAAATACTCACCCCAGCGTGGACAGCTGGGGGCAGTCCTGGCCAAAGGTAAAGACGCAATGGTTTGGGGCCATGAGCTCCTGCAGAGCAGGCCCTGGGTGTCACTGACCCCTGGGCCCCCGGTGCCCGGTAGCATCTGTTCCAGCACAGGGAATGTCTGCAGGGTAAATGACCCTCCCAGCTGCACTCTGGGACCTTGAGATTCATACCCAAGGGGTCTTGTTTTGTCATAGGACTTGGCAATCACATAGGCTGGGCTGGTTTGTTTTTGTTAGTTGGTTTTGTTTTCACACTTTACTTAAAATCAGCTATATTGTCGCAATGCAATTATACCAATGAGCAAAATTCACATCTCTCAAAGAGAAAAATGACAGGAATAATTATTATTTGATTATTATTGTTTCACCTGGTACAAGCTTGAAGGAAATGTTGCACTAAAGCATTTCCTTTCTCTCTCTTTCTAGTTATCTGTAAATTGTACTCTTAGCCCAGCTGGTGTGGCTCAGTGGTTGCATGTCGAACCATGAACCATAAACCAGGAGGTCATGTTTTGATCCTGGTCAGGGCACATGCCCGGGTTTCCCACTTAATCCCCAGTAGGGGATGTGTAGGAGGCAGCCAATCGAGATGTTGATGTTTCTCTCTCTCTCTCCCTCTCCCTTCCTCCCTCTAAAATCAATAAGAAACATATTAAATTGTGAAAGAGTATATACTGGATGTCTTTGAGAAATTTGATAGCTAAAAATATAAAAATGTTATTACTAAAATCTATTGTTTTAGAATGGCAACATATTTCTTACAACCACAGAAAAGAGAAAACACAG